TCACATTTATAGAGAACTTGATCGAGATGGGGACACCCTTCCTCCCAGAGAAGCACCTGGCCAGGTGTTACTGTGCAAGACACAGTGTGGAGGGTCATGTGATCGAAGACACCAACCTGCCTTCAGGGAGGCAGGACAGGCCCGGTACTGGCGGCTCAGGACACCAGGGGGCGCCCAGGAGCCACAGAGCAGGATCCGTCCCTGCAGCGGATGCAGATGGAGTTCAGGGCTGGCTTCCCGTCAGCACGGGGTTTCCTGTGCATATATTTTCTCTGCACAAAGAACCTCTCTAGAGTCATGGCTGTGCACTTCCCACTTTAGTCTCTGAATCAGCAGGGGTCACTGTATAGGAGGAAACATTCCCACATGCACAAAAGGCACTCTGCTCACGTTCCTAAATACCAATTAATTAGTAAATCTTACATCAGTCAGCTCACCATATCAGAGAGGTCAGCTGGCCTGCACGGTGCAGGCCAGAGATGCTCAGGGACCTGCTGCCCATCAGCAGCTCAGAGAGTGACTGGTGGACATCACACCGCAAATGCTCATGAACCTAAAGCCAAAGGAGAAACCCTGGTGGGGTGCTTATGTTCTTGGGTCCACGTGGGCATCGCTGGCTGGAGTGGGCACCATGCAGGACAGGGCACCGAGAGGAGCATCATGGGACATCCAGTCTGATCGGAAAACATGGAGAATGATGGGAAAGGAGACTCCCATAGAGGGTTACTGAGGATCAGGGGGAAGGGTTGAGGGTCCTGCTCCCAGGAGGGCTTCTGTGGATTCCGTCTCCCACCGGCATCCAGGGAGGGGAGCCGTGCTTTCTACCACATTTCCACGTGTGGGCAGAGGGGGGTGGGGGGATGAGCCTGGAGGTGTCAGCAGCCAGATGTCAAAACAGAGCCTGAGGATGTATTAAACTGAAAAGTATAAAATATAGGAGGAGATAAGAGGTCATTATGGGGAGACAACAACCTGGGTCTGCTGAATATAGAATAAAGTTCATAAGAAAGCAAGGAATTATAATAACAAAATAATGCACATAATGGAATTAGCAAGGGGTGTGACCCAGTCTCAGGAGGAAGCTGTCTATTACTCAGGGTCATGAGCTTGTTCTCAAGGTCCTGTGTCAGCCGTGTACATTCAAAGGTCAGAGGCCTCGGATCCCTCAGCCTGACCGGCTCTGCTGCAGCACACGTCCAGGTGTTTGGAATGTAAACATGATGCTTTAGTTACTGATATGGGCTGAAGGTTTGGTTCCCCAAGAATTTCACATGTTGAAACCTCATGCCCACTGTGATTGGGTAGGAGGCAGGGCCTCTGGGGAGCACTGAGGTCAGCAGGGGGAGCCTCAGGGAAGGGGTCAGTGCCCTCATGAAGCAGCACTGAGGAGGCTCCCCTGCCCCTCCTTCCATGGAGGCCACAGGAAGGACAGCACCCAGGGAGGAGGTTCTCCCCAGTCCCCCAGCATGCTGGCACCTGGTCTCAGATTCCCAGGCCCCACAACTATGAGGAATAAATCCCTGTCGTTCAGAAGCCACCCAGTCCGTGGACCTTCATTACAGCACCCAGAGGCGAGGGAGGTATTCCTGAGCCATGAGCCCGAACACCGACTCTCTGCGGTTGTGCAGTGATATTTGTTGTCAAAGTTCCTGTGAAAATCCCTTCAATGGGATTCAAGGATGATTTTATCTGATGTTTCTCCCAATAGATGGAATGAACGGGTGGCCTGCCATGGGAGTCTGGGGAAAGATGGAGTGGGAGGCAGCCGTCACCTGTTCTTGACGTGAGCAGGTACAGTACATGGATTCCTTCCGATATTTGCAGTGTCCGAGTGCCTGAGGGCCGAGGCTGCTATGGGAGGAAACATGTCTAAGTGCACAGTCGTCACAGGGACCGTGTCACAGGGGTCAGGGGTGTGTCCACAGGGAGAGGATCCTGATGCCTTCGTGCCCAGCGGGAACACCTTAGCACACGAGAGCTCAAGGGTCCGTGAAAGTTTGGATAGTTTTATTAAAGAATATTATTTCCTCAGCATTTCTGGAAAACTGTGGATGTGGGGAGAGTAGCATTTGAGACGTAATGAGAACTCGCTGGGCTGGTTTATGATGAGGCTGGAAGGTGTGCACCTCCGTTACTGGAAGTAACAGCAGGTCCACTGCACGCTGGAAACGTGAACTCAAGCACGGCCTTAGGGACATAAAGGGATGTAGGCTTCTGTCAAGGAGTCGCTTCAGGACAAGGAGAAAACACAAAACAAATAAAACATATTTAAATCCATGGCAGGTGGATGCTGAACAAACTCCGTGTATGTGTGCAGAGGGCCCTTGAGGACCCGGTGCTGGCCATGTCCCTCCAGACAGATTGCCCAGGTCTTTGCTGTTGCTGGTGTCACATGACCAGGAATGACCTCCAATGTCTTTGTAAAGTGTCCTCAGAAGTATTGGATTTAGGTAGAAACCAGTTTGTCAAAACCATGTAGTGCAGAGAAACAGGCATTTATCTAACATTCACTGGAAGTCCTCTGGTGCCACCACGGAGCTGTGAGATTGCAGATTCTCCACGTGGGAAGACACCATTCTCTTTATCAACTCAATGTCTGTGTCACCTGCAGGGGCTCTGACCCCCACCCGGCATGCACCTGACAACATGGTTCTGAAAGTCACATGCAGGCAGGAGCAGGGACAGGGGAAAGGAGGGGATTTCCCTAAAGTGAGCTTCTGAAGAACCAGGGGTGTGACCCCAGACCCAGAGCTGTCACATGTGCACGGGGACAGGTGCCTGGGGGGATGTGAGGCTGCACCAGGGAGGCGGACCTATGTTCATGTACAGCGGGAGCCATCAGATCCTATACTGGGGGTATTTGCCTGATCTGGTGGTTTTCCAATAAGTGGCTCAGAAAAATACGACTCTTGTCATCACTGATTATTTCTTTTAAGAAGTTCCCATCTCATTAGAGATCACCCTCAAGTTTATCATGAACAAGATTTCATTAACCAAACCTGAACTACTCCCAAGGATTTATAGACACTTAGTGACTCAAAAACTGCAATATTTGAGTTTCTTCTATATTACAGTGTTTGCAGCTGAGCTTCCAAGACAACATGGAAAATAAAAGCAAAACAAACAAAATTGGAGACAGTGAATTTTCATTGATTCAGCAGCAGAAACTCACCTGAAGCAAACACACCCCAGCAGCAGTGCCATCTCTCTGTGCACATTGTCACACGGTCGCTCACCGAGTCCCACAGGCTCTGCTCTGCAGACGTGAGGCCCCCCTGTGCTGAGACCAGACTCTGCTCCCAGTCCATCCCCTGAGCCCTCTCCAGGGGACATAAGGCATCAGAGGGAGGGTCCCATCTCTCCAGCATGAGAGCCACCTGCCCCTCTAAGTCACCCCAGGTCATGGTGGCTGATTCCCCTCAGTGTGCTCATCACTGGGGACCTTAAATGGCATCTCTACTCCAGGCTACCCTTTCTCTGTTTATGTCTATGGCATTCTTTCCACTGTAGCCTTCCTCATGTTGTAACATGACCTAGTTTCAAACACAAAACTCATTAATAATGTCCACAAATGTCACGAACACCTTTGAGCTCCACATCATTCTCTCTCCCTTCCTGGGCGTGAAGTTCCCTTGTAACCCACCTGGGTCCCCGTGAACAAATACACACCTACATTATTGTCTCCTCTGTGAGTGTAATGGAACCCTGTCTGTGCGGGTGCCCCCACCTCCTGGAGGCAGGATGGGCCCTTCATGTATGTCTGTCCGCCCAGGTAAGGCCCTGAGAGCACCTGGACAGTAACACACTGGCCAGGATGCGGGTATCAGGGCCCCTAGTCCTCTGCTCAGAGCAGGTCCACCACTTTCTCAGTTCACACGGGGGCTCTCAGGACCAGCAGAGGCATCTCAGGACTCCTGTGGGCACTGAGGGCACCCAGGGGTGCTCAGGATATACCACAGCATGCTTGTGACACCCTGGGACTCATGGACAGCAGTAGTGGACACCAGGAGTCCACGGGGCTGAGGACGCACAGCGCAGAGAGCAGCCCCAGGGGCAGGTGCACATGGAGGCTGAGGCTTCCTGCCAGAGTCTGTGGTTTCCACTGCATCTAACCATTTCCCATAGAAACTCTCTGTGCTCCTTGTTGGTTGCTAACAGTGCATTTCTGGCTTAGGAAACTTTATTGTGAGGTGTGGACAGTTTCTCACATGCACCGAATTCAGGGACTCGTTGATGGGGGCAGCAATGGCTGCAGGGATCCCAGGAGCAGAGGTTCAAGGATTCTCAGGGACCTGGTGAGGGTTTTCCAATGAGACTCAGGGCAGGGAGCTCAGGAGGCCTCCTACAGCAGGACAATCTGTGATATTGGTGTGACAGCCCAAGCCATCCATTCCAGGGCCTGTGGCCTGGAGGACCCGCTGGAGTTCACATCTGACTCTCCTCATAAAGTGTCTGTGTCAGGCTCTCTGAAAAGGTAGGGCCCTTAAACACAGGTGAGAGAGACTGGCTCCCCGGGTATTCTAGGTACGAAAGCAATGCAGCAAATCGCACATTCCCACCCAGGGGGCGCCTGAAAATCACTGGGAATGTGGCAGCTCTTCCCTGGAGCTGGATGGAGGTGGAGTCGGGCCACTGACAGGAGCGCAGGCCCTCACACCGGGGGTCATCCCACCAGACATGGTCTCAGGGGAGCCTTTCTGTACCCTTTGTAGTCTGTTTGCAATTTTTATACCTGAGTAAATGAATGTCTATTGCTAATTATGTCACTAACTTACGCACATTTGTACAAAAGAAATCAAAATGTGAGTCACATTTCTACCAGTACACTAACACACAATGAAAATTCATAAACTTTGGAAGCATTTTCAAGTGCTAAACAACCCTAAGACACTCACTCCTGCTCTGGGGCTCAACCCTCTGCATAGACGTGTAGCCCCAGGGCTGCTACAGAGTCAGAGCTCATGCAAATGGGGTCCTGCCTGTGCTGATGAAAAGCAGCCCAGCCCTGACCCTGCAGCTCTGGGAGAGGAGTCCCAGCCCCAGGAGTCCCAGGTGTCTCTAGTCTGTCATCAGGACTCAACACACACCACTCACCATGGAGTCTGGGCTGAGCTGGGTTCTCCTTGCTGCTCTTCTGGGAGGTGAGCAGGAGACCCTGCGGGTGTGTGTGGGTGTCAGTGCGGGAGGTTGTGGAGTTGACACATGCCTGACCAGGACACCTCTGTGTTTGCAGGTGTGCAGTGTGAGGTGCAGCTTGTGGAGTCTGGAGGAGGCTTGGTGCAGCCTGGGGGGTCTCTGAGACTCACCTGTGCTGTCTCTGGATTCAACATTGGAATTGCTGACATATGCTGGATCCGCCAGGCTTCAGGGGAGGGGCTGCAGTGGGTCTCAAGCATTAGTAGTGGTGGAAGCACTCACTACACTGACTCCGTGAAGGGCCGGTTCGCCATCTCCAGAGACAACGCCAAGAACACGGTGTATCTGCAAATGGACAGCCTGACAGACAAGGACACAGCCCTGTATTACTGTGCAGCAGACACAGTGAGGGGAAGTCAGCGTGAGCCCAGACACCAACCTCCCTGCAGGGACACAGCACGGGCTGGGCTGCAGGGGACTCAGGACACCAGGGGCGTGGGATCCAGTGCAGGCTCAGCCCCAGGAGCAGGTGCAGGGGGAAGGGAAGGGCTGGCTTCCTGTGAGGTCTGGGGCTTCCTCTCCGCATGGAAGCTCACCAGGGAAATGTCTGTGTTTACCATCCTTTGCTCCCTCCCGACACCA